ACGCTGTATTCAGCCCAGGTCACTGCCATTCTGGCACCCAACTGGCCTCTCTCTGCTGTACTACACCCACCCACCCCGCTTTCTGTTTGTCCAGCCACCTATATCCAGTCTCTGGGCAGGCGTCTGCCCTCTGATATACTCTGGCTCTCAATCTCACAACTCTTGCCACCTGGGGCTGGGGCTCTAGCCACCCAGGATTCAGCTAAGGACCATCACCAGTTGCCTAAGAACACAAGCAAAGGGCCTGCTCCCACCAAGTCAGCCACCACATAGAAGTCACCTCCTGTTCTGAGGGGGAAAGGGTGCCCACCAGGTGAAAGGAGGCAGCTGCAGCCAGGGACAGCTCCTGGGGCCCACAGAGCCACCTGCACAGCCTGAGAAGTCCCTGCTGTGCGGAGGAAAGGCAAAGGTGAGCCACACACTTTCTCTGTTCACGCAGCAGCAAGCCATTTCTGGAAAGGGCCAAAGAATAAGTATTTCAGACACTGAGGGGCCACAAGGTAAGACAAATATTCACACTGGAGTCTTCTTTATATGGTATTTTAAAAAGGTAAAAGCCATTATCGTCTTGAAGGTTGTAGTAGCTGAATTTGATCTTTAGGCTGAGGTCCGCCTACCCCTCATTAGTTGAAGAGCAGACATTCATTTATGACCTTATTCACAGCTACTCAAGAGTCCAAAGTAATTTAGAGCCAAGAATTAGAAGCGTTCGTCAATTCAGTGCTCTCCAGAGGAAGGCATTTATTCCTACTGGGGGTAAAGGAAGAAATGATTTTAAGCCTTTAATGCTATATTTTTTTTCATTTCTACTTTTGTTTATGTTTTGCAAAATGTAAGTACAATGGTATTCTTGCAGAATTTGTAAGTGACATAATTACATAGGTTGAGTGTGATGTGCTTTTTTTAATTATAGGGGTGCAGTATGAAAAAATCAAGAATGTTAGCCTGAGCGCACATCAGTGAATTTTGAAAAGCTTCAAACTGTCATGCCTTTGCTTCTATAAACATCTCCTCTCTCACCGAGTGTTGGGTGGCAAAATCTGATTTTTTAATTAAAATTTATTTAAATGGATGCTGACAGATACTGGAGAACTTCAGGATCTTGAAATCAGTGTATTATGAAAAAAAATATTGAGCAGTGCTAAGAGCAAGGTTGAGGCTTTGGAACATGGTGCTTTCTTGGGATTTTGAACCTTTGCTGCTCCTTGTCACATAAAGTCAGAGCCTTCTTGCCCCAAGGCAGGCCTTTGGGATCAACACTTCCCAAACTCCTGCTGAGGCCATGTTGACATCAGGCTGAGCTCCACTTACATAAATTGCATAGTAACACTCTGTATGTGCTGGGTTCAGTCTCCTGTACAAAGCAGACTTTTGTGTAAGGGTAGAAGGACAGCAAATGCGGTAGGAGGAAAGCAGCCTCACAATTTAGCTCCTCACTTTCCCTCTTTCATCTAAACAGTGACATCTGTGCATATTTGTTTAACAAAACATGGACAATGGAAAACTAAAATTATTAGTGCCACTGATTAACTAGTCATTGGGATAAACTGGGTGCAACTAAAATAACCGTGGAAATAAACCTACTGGAGGCAAATGACTGGAAAGTGTGGAGTCCATTTTAGAATTATTTTCATCTAAAATGGTAACTCTAAACACGGGCCAGAAGCCCTGCGGCTAGGTAGAATGTTATTACACTTGTGGTTTATTGGATTAACCCAGATATCTGGGTATTGGTTTGGATAGGAAAAAAGTAAAACTATAGAAGATGTAGTGAAGAACCGTGATGGGCTGGAGATTTTCCCCGACTTGTAAGTGAACAAGTGAATCTGTGCCGGTTTCATCGATGCTAGCAGAAGACACACAGTCCTGGGTCAGAGACCAAGGACTGCAGGCATGTCCTGGCTTTCCCATGGCTCAGACAAAACACTCGATACCTACAACTTAAAGGAAGACAGGAGTTTTTTGGTTTACAGTTTCAGCCCATGGTTAGCTGGCTCCAAGGCAGAAACAGGATGGCAGAGGAGCCTGAGAGAGGAAAAGGTGCTCAAGAGCACCTGCTCTTGAAGCAGAGAGCAAACGAGGGAGCTGGGGGAGGGAGATCTTCCCGAGTGACCCATCTCCCACCAGGCCCCGCTCCTGGCAGGAAGTCAGCCGTGCACTCATCAGTGGACTGAGCCTCTGGCAAGTACAGCACCCCCATGATCCAGTCACCTCCCAAACACATAAGGCTCTGGGGGGACACCTGAAGTTTAAACCACAACATGACCATATCAGCATTTGGGCCTGTTCTTTGAGGCCCATTTTTCACAGGGCAACACAAAGAGGACCAGCTGACACCTGTAAAAACAGTGGCTTGGATTACAGGAGAGGAATCTCGAGCATAGAGACCCTAAAGTCTTTTATGATTTCTGTTCATTTTAATGTGTTGATATTTTTATGGCTTGGAATGTGGAAGGTTTCAGTGAATGTTCTGTGTGAGCTTGGGAAGAACCTGTACTCTATTGTCATTGATGGATTATTCCACAAAGATCAATTAGATCAAGCCGATTGATGGTGTGGTTCAGGTCAACTATAGTCTTACTGACTTGCTGTTGGCTTCGTGTATAGGTACTAAAAGAAAAGTTTTAAAGTCTCCAACTGCAGCAGTGGGTTTTCTTTTCCCTCCTCGCAGTTCTATCACATTTTGCCTCACAGAGTACTATAAATGGCACTCTTAACCTAGCAGCTTCTCTAGAGTTTGCAATACTTTTAACTAATCTAAATCCATCTTCAAATACTACTATTCCACTTCACAGGAAATACAAGTGCCTATAACACAGTATTCCCAATTCCTCCTTCTTGTCCCGTGACACTGATGAAAATTATTTCACTTATTCATAGGCTGTAACCCTATAATACATTGTTACTATTAAGAACAATTAAGGCTGGGCATGGTGGTGCACGCCTGTAATCCCAGCACTTGGGAGGCTGAGGCAGGAGGATCCTTCTGAGTTCAAGACCAGCCTGGGCTACATGGCTAACCTGAACTGCATAGTGAGACCCTGTCTCAAAAAGACAAAAAAAAAAGTTAAGAATAAGAAAAATGAAATATTTTTACCTTCATTTATTCCCTTCTCCTCTTTTTTATATAGACCTGAATTTCTGAGCTATATCTTTTTCCTATTCCCTAAGCACTTCTTTTAATATTCCTTGCAATATCAAATCTCTTGGTGATAAATTCCCTCCATTTTTGCTTAGAGAAAGTACTGATCCTTTACTCTTGAAGGATAATCTCCCTGGCTATAGAATCCTAGGTTAGCAGATCTTCTTCTAACCCCATAAATGTTTATTTCACTCTACTCTCTTCTTGCTTGGATATTTTCTAACAAGAAGTCTGCTATAATTCTTCTTCTTAATTCTGTATAGATAAGGTGAAGTTTCCCCACCCTCTATCCCAGTTTCTTTCAAGAATTTCTGTGTCAGTTTATGATATGCCTAAATTTGTAATTTAATGTCTATTAATTTTTAAAAATTCTCAGCTGTATCATTTCAAATATTTCTTCTGGTGCTGTTCTTTCTTTTCCTCCTGCTATCCCAGCACATGTATGTTATACCTTTTGAAATTATCTCCCAGTTCTTCAGTTTTTAATTTTGTTTTTGTTCTCTGTCTCTGTCTCTCTCTCTCTCTCTCTCTCATTTAGCTAGAGTAGATTCTATTGAATATATCTTCAATCTCACTAATTCCTACCACTTTCTTTTGATTCTTTCTTAGAATTTCCATCTTTCTGCTGCTTATATTAACCATCTGCTCTTGTGTGTTTTCTCCCTTTTCCATTAGAGCTCTTAACATGTTGATTATTGTTATTTTAAATTCCCTGTGCTAACTCCCAAATCTGAGTTATATCTGCCTGATGCTGGTGCCTGATTCGTCCCCTTGGTGTTTTTGCCTTTTAGCATGACTTGCAGCTGTTTGTTGGAAAATGGACATGACATATTGAGTAACAGGAACTGAGGTGAACAGGCCTTGCCGTGAGGTTTTATATTGAATCTGGCTAGGGGCTGGACTATCCAATGTTTGCTGTAGATATGGGAGTCAGAGACTCAAAATTCCTTTTTTTTTTTTTTTTTTTTGGTTCTAGAGATTGAGCCCAGGGCTTCACACAGATGTTCTACCACTTAACTACGTCCTTGGCCCATCAAAAGTCCTCATTTTTATCTCTCCTGTCATCTTTGGGTTTCCTTCCCTTAGACCCTCTGAGATGGTCAATACTTGCAGCTCCTTGTTTTAGTTCACAGCGATGGTACTAGAACTCTGTCGGTGTGATGGTAACATGTGGTGGAAGAAAATGGTCCATAATCTTGTGACTTGCTGGGGCCTTGGCTGTATGTAATCTTTACAAATATTTCTTATCTTTTTCCTTTAGTCCCCCACTTTTAAGTGAGAGAGGAGCCAACAAGGAAGTTGGATTAGGCTAATTTCTCTTCCCCAAAGCCTGATAAGTCTTCTCCCAGGAGAATAGGCCTTTTTTTTTCTTTGACACATAATCATTGTATATATTCGTGAAGTACAATGTGATATTTCAACATAAGTATATAACCTGCGATAATCAAATGAGGGTAATTAGCATATTAGCATGTCTATCACCTCAAACATGTATCATTTCTTTTGTGTTAGAAACATTTAAAATGCTGTCTTCTACATATTAAGCCTTTTTTATGGAGAATGCTGTGAGCATACTTTAAAATGGTTACCTTTATCCTCCCCCTGTCACAGACGTTAGAGGATTTTTGTTGTTTCTTTAGTAGGAGAACCTCTAGCGTTCCTAGAGATGAGAGTCACAGAAGATGGGCAGGGTGTGAGGACCGCAGCCTCCAGGCCTCTGTCACTCTCATGCAAGTCCACACTCAGCCTCCAATTTCATCAAAATTACTACAGAAATCTTCCTATCAATGTGGCTCCAGCAGCTTCTACTCCAGGTAAATAGAGCACAAGCGTAACTCTCTGCATTTGTCGTCTCTCTAGATTTCGGGACGGAAGTTTGCCTTGTGACATCAATTGTCTGGTAGGTCCAAGAAAAGTCATTGATTTTCAGTTTCAACTTCTTGCTTGTTGAAAAAGCAGGTGTGACAAATTTCCAAGAGTTTCCAAGCTCTTTATGTGTCAGAGCTGAAACTAGAAGTCACTGAGCTTTTTTAGAAGGTAGTGAACTTAACTGTCCTTTGCTTTAGCGGGAAACATTATTTTTATTATACTGGACAGTAAATAAATCTGCTCTTCACTCCAGAGGAAAGCAATGCCTGCATCTTCCAAGGCTGTATATTGTTCTAACATCCTTGAAAAGACAATCTGGATATGCAGAAGTGTAAAAGATCTATGGAGAATTGTCTGCCAACTGATGTATAAATCATTGGAAAAATGGTACTGGAAGCCATCTAAAACAGTGGGCCTTAACACTGGCTATCCAGTAGCACCACCTGTCCAGATTTTTACAAAACCAATGTCCAGAGGTTTTGTTTTCACTAGTGTGTGATAGAGGCCCAAGCCAAAGTAATTTGCCAGAGGACTGTAAATGAATTATGGTACATTAACTAATACTTAATTTATAACACCCACTCGAACTGAATCAGGGTGGTTCTGGGTATGGAAGGCCCACCTGAGGATTGTTGCCAAGAGCATAAAAGCAGAATTGGAGGGAAAGATGGTGTGCTGTTGATTCTCGTGGAGAAGCTTGGTGTTCCTGATATGAACTGGTTTTCCTGATATGAACTTCACCGTTCTCATTGTTGGAGGAGCTTGGGTCCTCGCTGTTACTGAAGGTGGCTGCTTCTTTTTGGCAGTGCTCTGGTCCTTACCTTGAGCGTTGCTTCCTGGCTCCAGTGTAGATCCCTCAGCCTGCTGGCACAGACCCTTCATCCTGCTGGCGTAGACTTTCTAGCTTCCACCACTGACCTTTGGGTCTTCTCAGCGCAGATCCTTGATATAGACTTGTATGAGACATTGTCGTGGGCTCTATGCCTCCAGCTGGACTGGTGGAAGACATTGCCATGGGATCCAGGCCTTCAGCTGGATTCTGTGGGTCTCTAGTGCATGGAGAGATCGCTTGCACTCTTCTGCATTTGACTCTTTGGGTGAATATTATAAAATAATCCTATAAATTATGTGTCCTGTATTAAATCACTTCCCTTGGAAACCCTGGCTACAACATGATTTTAATGTAAAGGGTGGGTAGAGACCACCTGCCTAAAAAATGATGAGGTAAAATAAATATATATCTCCTCAGTACTTCCCAAACTTTGCTGCATATTTGAATTACTTGGGATTCATAGTCAGTGCAGCTTCTGGTTCACTTGGTCTAGAGGGGCGTCAGGGACTCGGTTTCTGACTGGCTCCCTAGTGTTCCCTGGCGGTGTCATCCCACTTTGAGCACAAGGTTTTGGCTCACTGGGCATAGACTTCTCATTATAATCTGTGTCTAGTGCTAGACTTTCACACTTCAGGCTTTATATACATGTTCAGGCATTTATTGTATATGAAAGGAGTGGGTAGCCTGATTCTGAGAGACGGTTCTTGCGATAAGAGTGAGACCTATCCTTCCCCAGGACCACACAAGTGCACTGGCCACTGAAATTATGAGACCTTTGAGATATACTTCAGGATGTTTTAAAAAAAAAAAAAAACAGATTTGGAACATGGGGCCTTAATTCCTAACAACTTCACTCTGTGTCTTACACTGCTCAAGTGTTGCTAGCAACTGAGGAAAATGCACAAATTTGGATCCAAGTGTCAGAGAAATAAAAAGTAAAATCTTGTACTGCTGGACTGGAAAAGCTCCATCAACTATGAACCCCCACTTCAAGTGATCAGTTTGTTTTTATTCTTCCTTCTCTTGGGAATAAGAGAGGTCCTCTCCCTTCTCCTCTGCCTCCTCACCTCCTGATTTCATTTCCAAAGATCCTGACACCTTTGACATCAGTAACAGCCGAGCTGGCACCTGGCCCCTTCCACCTCTGTGCAGCCCCGGCAGCGAGGGGGAGGAAAACGTCCTTTCTCGGGACCCATGCTGCCCATTAACAGGGCTGCCCCAGACTAGCAGTTTCTCCCCTTTCCAGCTTGAATGAATATCCTCCAGGCTGCACAAGTCGTTCATTTGTTTTCAAGAATAAACTGAAGACTCCTAGGCAGGAGCCAGGTGCTAGGGAGCACCACGGACATACAGAGACATGCCTGTTAAATATTGATCCTATTGATGGCCCTGGGGCAGGCAGATCTGGTGCCTGCTTTTTTGACATGCCTCCTTAACCAAGTTAATACCTGTCCACCCACCAGCTGCCTCTGGGAATGTTTTAGAAATACCGCTTTCCAGTGATGAGATAGGTCATCCTTTCCCACTGGGCCTGGCTTCTCCGGGTTTTCTGATACAGGTCTGCTGAAATTGAAACCGGCCTTTGCTTTCCCTGATCTTTGTGTTCCTCACACACATCAGAAAAGAACAATGCTGAGGTGAAGTACTCAGAGCTGAGGAGGGAGGATTGCAGCAGCCAGTTAGCTAAGTGGAAAGAAAACATTGGCTCCTTTTGCATCAGCTGTGGAATTGACATCTATGCAGGTGTTTATTCAATATATCTTTATGATGTGCCATTATGTGCGTAGGTGCTGGGGATCCAAACTAAATAAAACCTTGGCTCTGCCCTTGAAAGGTTTACAAGCTCCAAACCTGGGTTAATGGTTTTCTAAGTCTAGGCCGAATTGTTTAAATATTTAAACAGAATACATCTATTTGCTTGTTGAGAGGAGTGGCCACTTCATCTTCCAAGGCTGGGAGAGGCTGGGTAGTTAAAAATGGCCGGCGGGTGAGGGGGTCCTACAACCTGTGCAGTTCTTACAAAAAGGCATAATATCCACAAAGGATGGAAGTAGAGTCTTCAGCCCCTTCCAGACATTTCCTATGAAACATTACCCATAATTACCCCTGGATGGCCATCCTCAGCATAGGCCTATGTGGCCAGAGTCAAGGAAACCACACAATGCCCTCAATCAGTGCACTTCTTCAGCCAGAAATGGCAGGCAGCAAGGAAGACCTGGCTCTTTTCCTCCCTAAATTCCCTCTTATGAAAAGTCAAAGATATCAAGAGCCAAGTAACACAGAGTTGTGAGACCGAAGGGACTACAAGAACTATGTATATTTTTAAAGTATTCAAATTCAAACACAAAGTCAATAACACACTGCTGGCCTCTGTTTTCTCAGTAACAATCTGCACCGGGTCTTAAGATGCGGCTTCATTATTTCCATCCATGTAAGTTTAGGCACATTGCTTCTTTTAGCATTTCACCTCCTTAACAGTTAAAAAGGGATAATAATACCCATCTTGCATCTATCACCAGGTGGTTATGGTAATTTAATTATTCAGTATCTATCAAGAATTTTAAAACTATAAATCATTACAAAACTGCAAGCAATTTAACCAATATCAAGCTTTCCTTATCTCCACATGTTTAATTTATATTCTGTCTCTCCTGCAACTTCGAGACATGCATTCCAATCTGTTTTCCAGAATTCCACTTATCGTATTTGTTGGAAAAAGTACTCTTCTCCTGCTGCCCTAACTTGTTGAGAATACGGCTTCTGTAATTGTTAATTTGCCTGCAGCAAATCAAATCTACAAACATTAACTAGCTGCTGAACTTGGCCTCATAGGAGATACAAAAAAAAAAAAAAGTATAGGATTCACTTTCTGAAAAAATTTTTTTAAAAAAGGTACAGGATTCACTTTCTGAAAAATTTCAAAACTCCAGAGTTCATTAACACAGCGAACTGCCTAGCTGCATACAGTATCCTTACGTGTGCTGAGAAGGATAAGGACAACCTACCCTCCCTTGCTCCCTTGGTGCCCCCAATACACCTGGAGTTTTACTTCAAATACAAGAAACAGCCGGTGCTCATGATTTAAAGCTCAATACAAAGAGCAGAGAGAATTTATTTTATAAGCTGCCTAGGTTGGCAAAATTCCAGAGTTCATCAGACAGAAGACAGGATGATGATGATGATGATGATAAAAATGATTCCATATAGTTGGTCTTTTCATCGTAACATAAAAGATGTACAATCTACATAGGAGACTCCAGAGTTGCAACAAACCCTCAACCTCACCTAAAATAGATTCATAGCAGGACCTTCCCACGACCTCTGAATCTCAGAGATAACCCCATCTGCTTGAAAGGGTTGTGCTCAGAAGCTGAGCCCATGAACCCTTCAGGCAGTGGTCCCTTGTTTTAATGTTGTACAGGGGCATTAGTTTCTATATAACATAGGAAATGTCCCTACAAAATTAATATTCAAAATCCAAACAATACTCAAAATGACTAAATATCCAACTAGTGTTTTTCTGTAAACTGTTGATTCTTTGTTATAAGTCTCATGAAAAATCTGAAGCAAGTAAATCTCTCCTTTGGGAAAATGCCAACAACCCGACTCATAAATGAATTTCCAACACTCAGTGAGAGTAATACTTTTAATATATACTGAATGCTTGCTTCTATAGTCACATAAGGTACTGCGTACTTTAATGTATCAGTTCACTTAGTTCTCTTGATAAGTCATTGCTGATACCATCATTAATTCTCATTAAAGGCGGGAAGGGCTGAGGGTTTAGCTCAGGGATAGAGCACTTGCCTAGCATCTGCAAAACCCTAGGTTTAACCCCTGGCACCATACACATACACAATAAGCAAACAAAAAGGAAGCAAGGAAGGAAAACAGATTCCCAGAGGTTTCCTCATAGTGCAAGGTACACAGCTAAATGAAGAGGTGGGCCACTCTGCTGCTCCCCACAGCCTGTGACCCTGAGGACAAAAGTGGAGGTGGTCAGGTTGTTGGTATCCAGATCGCTGCAGTGCAGTAAGTGACCCTCATTTCAGTGGGCAGCACGTGGAGAGCAGCTAATCCCATCCACCGCCGCAGACTGTCTTCCTCACCCTGCCAGCCTCTTCATAGTGCTCTTCTTGCAGTCCAGCAGAAGCAGGTATAAGACCTAGAGATGGTTCAGAGAACCCCATTCCCCTGGACCATAAGATACACACTTAGAAAATAGTATGAAACTGTTTTCCAAAGTGGTTTACTAACTCATCTCCCCACTAGTAATGCATGAGACCCTGTCATCCCCATCCTATCTACACAGATCTTCTTAATACGTGTAAATTCAAAGAGTATAAAATGGGTCTCACTGTAGTCTTGTTTTGCACGTCCTCCAGACTAACATTCTTCATATATTTATCAGACATGTGCACTTTCTCTTATGTGAAATGCTTGCTCATATATTCCACCTATTTTCTATTGGGTTATTTGTTTTTGTATTGATTTGTACCTCATCATACATCCTTTGTCTGTGGTATGTATTACACACATTGTAGATATCTTCCTCTACCAAGTAACTTGTTTTCTCACTTTCTTTATGGCAACTTTTAATGAAGTAGCATTCTTGATTTTATTATAGTCACAGTTAACATTCCTTTTCTTTTTATGGCTTCTTATGTTTTAAGAAATCCTTACTTCAAGCAATATAAAGGACAGTCTCAATATGAGGGCAGAGCCACAAATGGAGCCGGGTTCCAGGGACATCAGAGGCAAGAACTGTTACACCTATCAAGGCTTTGTCTCAGCCATGTGGGGCAGCTGTGGCTAGCCAGTACAAGTGACCAGCTGGCTGGCTGGCAGGTGTGTTCTGGTTATAGAACGAGATATATCATGCTATTAGAGCCGGGTGCCATTAAAAATTCTAATCATAGACTGTAATTAACTTTCCTTGCTCTGACGCCCGCTCACTAAGCAACCTTCTGATTATAATTTGGCTTCCCATGTATCTTGCCTACAGGGAGAGAATGTACTGAGAATGTACTGTTCAGGCTGACGTGAGGATCCAATCCATTAAACAGTTACATGCCATGATGTAAATTAATAAATTCGTATTCTGATTATATCATCTGCCTCATCTGGGCTCTGAAGGCGTGAGTCAGCATCCCCAGGACTAATCAACACAGACAATGAGAATATCAAGCCTCTGGGCTGAAAACTGCAAATCTAGACCCAAAACAGAGTGAAATCACCAAGGTAACATTGCCCTGGAGGCCCCTGGGCCTGATGAAGAAGGCCTTCGTACACGGCATGCGATCTGGACAGGGATTACAATTGACTTTTGACATTATCAAGAGCTGCATATTCAAAACCAGGGCTTGGTTCCATTCAGGTGAACGCAAAGAATAGGGGATGATCATGAGGCGCGTACTGAATATTTATTGACTTATAAGCGCACACCAGATGCTGCACAAATCCTAGGCAGAAGGTTAAGATTTATAGGCATCCCTGGAAAAAGAAAAATCAAAAAGGACAGATGGCAGGTGCTAAGGAGAAATGGTGGAAGAAGTGTCTGACTGGTGAATCCTTGGGATCCCGGATACACAACAGAGGAAGGTAACTTTAAAGGCCAAAAGAAAAAAAAAGCAAATGCAGGGTACAGCAGAGTACAAACAGGAATGTACCGAGGCTGGGAGATTGTCCAGACCAGAGGAAAGATTTAGGGTGTGTGGGGTGAGGGCAAGATCTTCGAAGCGAGTTCAAAAGGCAAAGAGGAGATGGGCCCCTCGGGACAGATGGGGAAGGTTGGGCAATGCTGCTACGTGACCTGTCCTTTCCTCCATGATCCCGGGTGAGCAACAACTGCAGTGACACTAATCCCCTTCTGGGATCCCAGCTACACTGGATGAGGAGAAGAAAGCGATAAGAAATGTAGTATCTGGAAAGTCTTAGCCTCGTGACAGGAAGAGAGCTTCTACTTTGTGTTCAGGCCAAATAAGAAGGGAGGGGGTTGACCCACACTGATGACCGTACAGGATCTGTTCCTCAGAGAAAAATTTGTTCCTGACCTTCATGTGGTGCTGTACAACTCATAATCCCAGCTACTCAGGAGGCAGAATGGGAGGGCCACTTGAGCCCAGGAGTTCAAGGACAGGCTGGGTAACAGAAGGAGACCCTGTCTCAAGAAAGAAAAGGAAAAATGCAGTCCAGAAAGAGTGAAATAAATTAAAGGATGCTCTGTCTGTGTCATCTTCATGACCCAACTAAAGAGAAGCATTGTCTCACGCAGTGCCTTCCCTGGGCCCCACAAGAGCCAGAGAGTTCCAGCTTGGCTACAAGTGAAGGAGGCTACAGAACCATCAGAGCTGCTCTTTGGTTCTAAAAATGAGGTAGAGCTGTGTCACCCAGGAAGGGACGACCCTGAGTGTGGCCTGCCCAACCAGCTATGTGGAAGGAGAGGCTCACCAAAGGCTCAACAAAGCAGCACAACCAACAGGGCAGGCTGGGGAAGCGCTCCTCACAGGGAACTCCAGAAAACAGCCCAGCCATGCTGTCTAACCTGGAAGTCTGCTTGAGCATGAAAGAATGAGCTCCTTTAATAGCGGCCTCAGTGAGTGTGCACGTGGATACAGATCAACATAGGCAGACGGGCCCCTTCATTAGTAGAGATTGTCCCGCACGTGCTCCATGATGGTCTTCAGCCCCAGCCAGGTCTCCTCCGCAGTAGGGATGATTTGGTTGGCAGGCAGGAGAAAGCCATAATGCCCTGTATCCCTCAACTCAAAAGTGAATGCATACTTAATGCCATTGTCATATGCCCAGTCAATGCTGCTCCCGCTGGCAGGATCTGTGAGGGAGAAGAGCAAACACTGTTTTAGCTCAGTTCCCTTTGGGGTACCAGGAAGTCCCCCTGCCTAGGCTTTCTTAACAATCAAGAGTTCTTCCTGCAAGTCACTGGAAACATTGACTCCATTCAGACACCTCTGGCCCCCTGCACTGGGAGGGTTGGCACTAGTACCCAACCAAGAGATCTGAAATCCCCACTCCCACCTAACTCAGGGTCCAATCCTACAGGTCGTTCAAACCAACCTTCACAGAGACACAGTGTAGTCAACAGCCTCTGAGAGAGACCAAAGGCCCTATCTCCTGGAGTCCATGTCCTTGTGCGGTCCTTTCCAAAAATAGGATAGGACTGGCCTCGCCTGCGTGTCTAACAGGATAATTCAGAGATGAAGCTGTCGTGAAAGACACTCTAGCTTCTGCCTTAGTCATTCAAGGGATACATATGGTAAAGAACTAGGACCACCTGCCACTAATGAGCACGAACTCACTAGGCACCCGGTAAGTCACCTGACATGCAGATCTTCCAGCCCTGCTACACCTGCAGTCACTGTATTCCTGCAGAACACCTTGACTGTAACCCCACATGAGACCTCAGGCCAGAGACACCAACCAACTGAGCTGCTCCAGAATTCCTGATCCCCAGAAACAGTGTAAAAAAATAAATGTTTATTGTGTTAAACTGCTAAATTTTGAGATTTATTTTATACACAGCAAGAGATAACTGATACACAGAGAGAAAGAACCACACAGACAAAAGGCTTGAGAAAGGTAGCCAGGTGTGATGGTGCACACCTGTAATCCCACCACTGGGGGAGGCTGAAGCAGGACGAGCTAAAGTTCAAGCCCACTGGGGGCAAGTTAGTGACTTAGCAGGATACTATCTCAAAATAAAAGATAATAAAGGGCTAAAGATACAGCTCAGGTAGAAGGCCTCAGGTTCAATCCCAAGTATCACATACGAAATGAAAAGTCTATTGTACCTTTCAGATTTTATTCACTCTTTCAGGTTCTTACACTAGGGAGATGTTTACACAAATGGGTCTTATTTATTTCACTTATTAGATACTGTGACAGGGAAATAAACTGCTCAAAAGGAAAGAATAACTGGGATGAGGGAAAGGAGAAAAGAAAGAAGGAAGGAAAAAAAATAGTACACATAAGATAGCTAAGATAATTGTACTACTAATTTCTATTGATTTATTAAAAGGAACAGTTAATGTGTAATTGTTTGTTTTTTTGTTTTTTTGTTTTTTTTTGGTTTTTCTCCGGTACTGGGAACCAAACTCACGACCTTGCACTTGCCAGGCAGGCGCTTTTGCCGCTGAGCTAAATCCCCAGCCCCCTAATGTGTAATTGTTTGATCAATCTTGCATACCTGTATCTGGTAATCTGAGCAACTACCTTGAAGATAACAATATGTAACACAACAACCATTGTTAATTTCCTATTGTCCTGTTTTGAAATTCTGTATCTTTTTATTGTTTTTTGTGTTATTTTGTTTTGGTCTTCATTTTTGTTATTTTATTTTTGTTCTTTTCTCTTTAAAATAAATAAATAATTTAAAGATTGAAGTCTCTAGAGTGGCAAGAGGCCTATTCTACTCCTTCTTCTCCATCAAACTCTACTAGAGCAGAAAATGGCTGATAGGACGGAAGGTAGGTGATCTTGAATCTTAAATAATAAAATAGTTATGTCAATAGCAGCTATTATTCATTCAGCATCTACAATGAACCGGTCATTACATTAGAAACTTTTTTATTTATGATCTCATAAGCTTTTAAAAACAAGGGAGCTGGGTATAGTGGTGCACGCCTGTAATCCCAGCACTCAGGAGGCTGAGGCAGGAGGATCCTTGCGAGTTCAGTGAGTTCAAGGCCAGCGTGAATTGCATAGTGAGACCTTGTCTCAAAAAGACAAGAAAAAAAAAAAAAAAAGCTCAGTGGCATAAGTGCCTGCCTGGCAAGTGCAAGGTCCTGAGTTCAATTCCCAGTACCAAAAAAAAAAAAAAAAACTTCCTCTGAGAGATAGACTCATAGGCAACCCATTCAGGACCTCTCCTGTCTCTCAGGAGCTACCTATTCTCCACTCCTATTCCCCATTCTTTTTCTCCAATAAATTTTCCTACTGTTAAAAAAAAAAAACAGGGAGAAGCTGGGCATAACGGTGCACACCTATAATCATAGCACTCAAGAGGCTGAGGCAGGAGGATTGCTGAGTTTGAGGCCAGCCTGGACTAGCAAGTCCAAGGCCAGGCTGAACTACAGCAAGACCCTCTCTCAAAAAACAACAGCCAAAACAAAACAAAAACCAGGAAGATAGGTATTACTGTTCTTATTTTACAGATGAGGAAATCTAGGCTTGGAATGTGTAGCTCATCTAAGGAGATACAGACAGAAAATAGCAGAGCTACAGTTCAAGCCCAGGTCCACCTGACGATACAGCCTAAACTTTTCTCAATCGACCTCGGGTCCATCCTGCATCTTAACCCATCTGCTAAATGAAGATATGAGCCCTTTTGCCTTCCCATTGTTCCCGACAGTTGTTTGTAGGGAGAGCATCATGATTTTTCTAGAGCTGTTGCTTCCTGAGAGCTAATGCGCCCTGAGGGTATGGAACAGGCCCTGCTGCTCTCACTGAAGTCCGGTGTGATTCCCATAGGCTTTCTCTGCCCTGAGGAAAAGCTTCAGCAAGAACAGATGATGGCAGAAGTTTCTAGAGGCGCTTTACTGTGGCAAACTCAAGTACGGCGTTTCCGAACACACTGAAAGGAGGCAAGTTCTCCAAGGAGCCTGAAAGGAGGCAAAAAGGCTTCTGCTTGGCAGTCAGAGTGATGAAGTTCATGAACTTTGCTTTATTTAGATCCCTGCCCGACATCCACTTTTTTGTGTTAACACTCATAGGAGCACACTACCTACACTGCTTTACATAGTGTATCTTTCGGTTAACAACTGAAGATTACCCCTTGTTACTCCCTCTCCCTGGGTATATAGATCTACCACCTTCATTGAACAACGGTGTGGTGTTTCTATGAATGCACCAAGGGTTTTTATCCAGCACTCTCCTAGTGGGTATTTTTGACGCTCACCCACCAATCTTTGCTGATGATAAATAATGCTGTATTGAATATCTTTAATACTCATGATTTAGCCACCAGATGAACTCAAAGAACTTATTTCCATGCCCGTAGTTGACCAGAATCAGTGAAGAGAAAAGGATTGCTGGAGGCAGCCGTCCTGAAAACAGGACAAGCGACCCCTGACTGTCTGACTGAACGAGGACACATACAAGCTCAAGAGCAGACACAGGAAGAGAAGCTGAAAAGGCTGGGGCTGCTTCGCAGAGGGGTCCAACAGCACAACCTCAGGTGTTCAGGAGAGAGTAACTAATGCCCGGAAAGCTACTCAGTCTCGAAGAAAGGGGCTAAATCTCTTCCACATGCTGTGTTTACGAAGCAGGAAAGTGTGGAGGCCATCTTAGAATTATTTTCATCTAAATGGTCAATCTCAGAAAAGGTCTGGTGCTTGAAAAGATAAATGTTATCTATTTACATGGCACATCCCAGACTCCTGGGGTCAGATAGAGTGCTATTATACAAAATTTGATTGCTGTTATGGAAAGCAGTGAGGACAGAAGACAGGCTCTTGAAAGAGGTAGGAAATGGTACAGCTTCTGGATGCGCCCGAGAGAGCTTCTCTCCTCTGCTGGAGGCATCTGCTCAGGATCCCTCGGTTTGGGCCCAGCTCATGCTGGGCAGAAGAGTGTGCTTGATGCAGGAGGAAAAGGCTATTATTTAAACTGGTGTTTTCCCCAAAAGCCAGAACCCTGGTGACCTAAGAAGCTCTTTGGGAAGACCCCTCACGGGCTCCTAGCAAGCCTCCTCTCTCTTTGGTCCCTGGCTGGGTTCTGACTAATTAGGCAGAGGGTGGAGAAACTCTCCAAATGCGTCCTCTAAAGAGTTCCCCTTTAATACCACTAATAGCAATAAACCATGAATAATTAATGAATTGTTACTGCAATTAGCAATCCAAATACCAGCATCATGCTAACTACTTCATGCAGCTCAGCGGCAGATGAAACAGAGCCCAGGGTGGTGAGATCAGAGCCCAAAGAAGCGCCCAGGAGGCGGGCTGGAGATCTCCCCAGAAGGGGAGGTCTGACCAGAAAGCTGTGGAGACAGAACCATAGTGAACTCCAGGGCTGAGGAGAAAATGAAACTCCAGCACGTGCGCAGGGGCTCTGAGGTGGCCCGGTGGGCAGAACACGACAGTGTGTACTAAGAAGACACTGTGCAGAGGGTGAGAGGGACCCTCCTGGGCGAGAGCTGGGCTTCCCACGTTCGTACTTGGAATATGACGTTCTTCCCAATGGGAGAATCTGGAGACAGACTCTCAGGGTAAGAGAACTGGCAGGTTCTTAGCAGGAATCAAGCACACTACTCAGATGAAACATTCCATCGAGAGACCAACTAAAAGGTATTTCTACAAAGTGAGGTTATGGATGGTGAACCTCAAGACCAGGTTTAGATGTGGATCTCAGTAGATTTTTTTTTTTTTTTGAGACAGGTTCTCATTAAGTTGCTAAGTTGTCTAAGTACATGTGAACTTGCATTCCTCCTGCCTCAGCCTCCCAGAGTGCTAGGATTTGGAGCTTTTTTCCTAGATACTAACCATTGTTGGGAGGACCTCTAACCCTTGTTCATTTCTGATGGGAAGGTGAGGGAGTCTCCCCCATCCCACAAACACCACCATCCATCTGATGAGGCTAAGGTGAAATTCCTCCAAAAATAGAGTAACGGGCTTGAGGAATTTTTGGTAAACTATGTCAGGATCTTCCATGCAAGGTGAAGAACACAGATTGTCCACCTGCCACAAACCTAACTCATCCAGGGCAAGGGACAAATAGCATGAGAGTCAAAGAGACTGCGATAACTATGGTCACACAGACTTGCCACAAAATCTGCCTATCATGAACCACGAAAAACAACCAGACAACAGCTTTGGAATTCTAACTTGCAGCTCTCCCACACCCCATTTCAAGGCACTTTCTAAACGCTGATTCACACAGCGAGTACTCACAGACGGTGGTGCAGGTCGGGCCCACTTCGTACTGGGTACCTGACAGGGAAGCCAGGGCTTTGGCCGCACGCCTCGCCACCTCATCCTGGGAAAGGAACGGACAGAGTGAGGGGAACGGATCCTGGAGGCTGCCATTCCACAGCTCTCCTGCGCTGGGGGCTGGGGAGAGTCCTGGCCTCACCCTCAGTTTCCCCTGCTGGTCTCTTTTTCCTTCCCACCGAACCAGAGCCAAGGCCTGACAGAGGCGGCCTGGGTCCTCCCACACTTCCCCTGCCACTTCCCCTGTTCCTACACCCACTTTGAGGGCAAAGAGTGATACACACTCTGAAAGCAGGTGAGGCACATCCTCAAACTGGAAGAGCTGCTTGGAGCTCTACAAAGGGCTGGTGAGCTGCTCAACAACCTGTCAGGAATCTAGTGAGGCCCCATCTTCGTGTATCCCTTAGGAGGGGACTGTCATACTCAGGACCAGGAGGGAAGACCAAGTGTGCTCCTGAGAAAACCCTTGAGGATCTGGGGGTACAGACAGAGCAGCCATAGATGAAGAGGGCCAGAAGGTTTGTGGCCTGACTTTGACCTGGGCAGAGCAGTGTCCTTCAGCAACCTCCACAGAGGTGGTGGCCTGCAGTCACCCAGCAGATGCCAGCCCTGCTCCGCCTCAACCCACCCTTAAGTACCTCCTCACAGAACCTGACACAGAGCACCCCTAGGCTGTGGGCCACAGCATCTTCACCTCTTCCTTAACCAAAAGTACCTCCCCCTTGCGTACCACAGTGCCAGCCACAGTCCTTGGCGAGTAGTGGGGCTGTGCCACGGTCCAGTAGGAAAAACAAGAGAGAAGGCAAGGCAATGTCACAGCTGGCCTAGAATTAAGAGGCACTGTCTTCCTCCTGTCCCCAGTGTGTCTGACGGTACATCCACCCCAAAGCACGGGGAGAGAATTCTGGGCCCTTGACGAGACCCACCCGTGCTCCTGGACTTTCCCTCGAAAGCTGTAGATTGGCACCCTGGCAGCATCGGGAGGCCAAGCCAGCCCAGAGCCAGGTGGAAGACAGCTGTCACTCACCAGCTCCTCCGCATGCGGGGCCTTCTTGACTGTGTACCCGTAGGGATACATCAGCAGCTGCGAGTAGCTGTGCAGGTCAATGAAGCCTTTGAAATTCCCATGTTTTTGAATGAAATCTACTACTGATTTCACCTCCACTTCAGAATGGGCGTGTGGGCCGTGGTACACTTCAGAGCAAGGGTTATCACTGGTTCCTCTTCCTGTTGGGGACAGTCCAACCAGAAACAGTAAGCCACAGGCCAAGACGAGGGAGCTGAGGGCATCAACCCTGAGGAGGGGCTGAAGACACTGACAATGGGCAGCTACTGGCAGATGTCCCAAAAAGCCTGTCGGTGGTAGGTACAGACTGTGAGGAAGAGAACAGAGAGGGAGGCAGGGGTGCTGGATCTGCCACAGCTAGAAAGAGAAATTATTGAGATTTTTGGGTGGGTTTTTTGGGTTTTTTTTTTTTTTTGGTTTTTGTGTTTTGGTTTTTGTGGGGGTTTTTTGCCATACAAGGGATTGAACCTAAGGACACTCTACCACTGAGTTATATATGCCCAGCACTTTTTATTTTTTATTTTGAGATAGGGTCTCAATAAGTTGCCCAAGCAGAATTTGAACTTGCAGTCCTCCTGCCTCAGCCTCGCTCAGTGCTGAGATTAGAGGTGTGCACCACCACATCCAGCCTTTTTGGACTTCTTTAAGTGGGTAGAGTTGACCTTATATTGTGCCGATAGTGGTTGTCATAAATAATGAATAGCATGCTTGAAAATGAGTTGTAATTAACAAGTATTTTAGACAATTAATATGAATACCAATAAATAATGAAAATGACATGATTTATTCTGGTGTCAACTTACTTTCTTGGTTCAGATCTTAACAGCCAGCTGCTGCCAAAAATAATCTATTGTTCTGGCTAAAATTTCTTAATTATTTAATAGGTATTTAGAAATATCACCTTCTGTATTAATTCACAGTACAGCTACCTAAGGCATCTAGGTGTGTGTGTGTGTGTGTGTGTGTGTGTAATCACTTCAGTTTTGGAACTATCTGCCTTAACTTTGATGCCCTCGTTCCCCACATTCATGTCAGCTCCTTCCCCACAATCATTATTTTCCCCCAGTGGATGTTGTGTGCTTTTGGACAAGTAAGAACAATCCATTAAAAACAGAACATCAGTGCAGATGTGGAATAGTAAAGAGGTTGGCTCTGGATTTAGAATTAGAAGGTGAGTTTAGATCCTAATTCTTATCAGCCATACAATCTCAGAGGGTCTTGTCTCATTTCAGATAATAAAAGTCACTCGACAGGTAAGAAGGACAAGGTACATGGGAAAGTACCTTAGCACACAACTGGCACCTCTGTAGAGGATGATTTTAAGCAGCTGGAGCTCAGAACCCGGCCACATCATTTTCATTCCCTTTCTATGACATGAAAGTGCTGGGGCTCATACTTGCATGTGGGAAAATAACTGCTAGAATTTACTTTTCACAACCAATCATCAAGGCTATTAATCTTACCCATTAGGGTAACAGTGCTAATTGCTCTTTTTTGAGTTGCCACAGGGGGCCCTTATACCCACCCACAATTTGGCCAACAAAGTTGCTATGGTGAGGGATAAGAAAGGCCCTTGGATTCATACTTCTAAAAGGAGACTGCTTTTAAAATATTAGTGTAAACTGGGCATGGTGGCGCAAGCCTGTAATCCCAGCACTTGGGAGGCTGAGGCAGCAGGATCGTTGCAAGTTCAAAGCCAGCCTAGGCTACAAAGTGAGCTCAAGTTCAGCCTGAACTGCATAGCAAGACCCTGTCTCAAAAAGACAAAAATAAAATAAAATATTAGTGTAGCCAGGAGTGGTGGCACAGGCCTATAATCCTAGCACTTTGGAGGCTGAAGCAGGAGGATTCCCATGAGTTCCAGGCCATCCTGCACTACATAGTGAGACTCTCTCAACAACAACAACAAAAAAATTTAGTGTAAGGACTGGCACAAAGGATGTACAAGGGCCTGGATTTGATCTTTAGCACCACAATAAATAAATACATAAATATTTATTAAACAAAATACTAACACAGTTGTAATCATAATGCAAAGATATTCTGTCCCACCATTCTTTCAGGGGAACAGGAATTATCGAGTTATTCCCATTCAAAATTACAATAAAGGTTGGGCGTGGTGGCATACTCCTGTACTCCGGAGCCTGAGGCAGGAGGGTCACCATTAGCTTGAGGCCAGCTTGGGTGACATAAGCAAGTTCAAAGTCAGCTTACATTACATAGGGAGTCTCAAAACTAAATAAACAAAATAAAACAAAACAAAAAAAGGAATCCTGGGCAAATGGGTGACATTGATGCAACTACTTTAAAAAAAATAACAATAAAAAATTTTTAAAAAGAAACAAAACACAGAGCAAATTGGTATGGCCTAAGTGATGCCCCTAATTCTCTCAGTGAGTAGAGCAATGAAGACAGTAGCAACTCGCCCCCTCCCCACCACCTCAGGGAACAGGACAGGCTCACTAACGGCAGCGGAATCTGAAACTGTCCCCCACCTACCTCCAAAACTCGCATTCCAGTTTCTGTTTGGGTCAGTGCCAATGCAGTGGCTTCCAGGATTCAGGGACCGCGTCTTCCTCCACAACCGGTTCTAAACAAGTCATAAAACACCCAGAGCTAAGTCAGGACCCAGGGGCAGTAAAAGATTTTTCTGAGTGCCATGATGGTGGCAAGCACAAGAAACAGGACAAGCAACTTGCAGGCCCTGCCTGGGGAATTCGCTGTCATCGCTCAGAGAGAGAAGAGTTCACCATTCTGGCTGTCAGAGAGGGACTCCCCCAGAATGCCCCTTGAGAATGTCCTATGTGAGAGCTAGGCCAGGGGCGGAGAACCTGTGGCACCCGTGCCGCAGCGGCACACGGAGCCCTCTCTGTTGGCACGCAAGCCAAGGTGCCCCAGCAGCGGAGCATCAGATAACAACTCTTTTTTCTAAATTAAAATCTCAGTATTCAGGTTTAATTGTGGTGTTGGCACTTTGTGATGAATAAGTGAGCTTTGGGTTGCAGCTTTTGGGGTGCTCAGTCTCTAGAAGGTCGGCCATCACGGAACTAGGCCGATCCCAACTGAACGCACTGAATAATTGTTGGCTTTGGGAGAAGCAGGGCCAGTGGCCATCACGCGCCTTGATGATCACTGATGTACTTGAAGTGCACAGCGCATATTTTATTCTAGCCTTTAAAAATCCACCTGAATCCAGTCACACTCCAGCTTGGGGAATAAGGGAGCAAATTAAATGGTGCAACTAAGAAACCATCAGCCAAATTCAGAATGTGAGACATTATACAGGAAATTACTTGGTTTCTCCAACAAAAGAATGACATTTTAAAAGGATGTGTTGGGGGTGCTGATGTAGAATAAAAGAGACTGCAGAGACCCAGCAGCCAGATGCAGTGCACAGGCCTTGTTAGATCCCGACTCCAACAAATTGACTCCATAGAGACATTTTTAAGATAATTGGGGGTGTTAGATGATATTAAAGAACTTCCATTAATTTTTCAAAGGTGACAGAGGTGTAGTAGATTTGAGGTTTTTATCAGTATTATCATCAGCTGGAGATGCATACTAAGGTAGTTTTGGGTGAAATATCATGATGTCTGGGATTTGCTTTAAAATACATCAAAAAAGGATTGTGTGGGAGAGAAAAAAATGAGTAAGATTGGTAAAATGATGATAATCGCTCAAGACCCATAATAGAGAGTTCCTGCGACTATTCTCTCCAGAAAAAGAAAAAAAAAAGAAACTCTCTGCTGATTCTCAGCTCAGAGAATGACTAGCAAATGAAATCCCAAGAAAGCTGATAATATGCATACTGGTGGCAGCTCTCTCCAAAGGCATCAGCAAAGCAAGAAATTCAACAAGGAAGTTTCACACCAAGCCCAGCCCACTCAGGATTACTCACTTGGGTTTGTGTGTATACATATCCATCAGGATTGGCCACGGGCAGTAAGAAAATATCCACTTTCTTCAAGATGGATGTGACAGCTGGATCCTTCCCATACTCAGAGACAATCTAAGCAGAGACAGACTGTTTGTCAGCTACATCACACCAGCCTGGGTCATTAGGTCTAAGTCCCAGAGATCCCCTGCACCTGCGAAGAATAGCCTATACCCTGACACCTCCCTGTTGTCCCCGTGGGCATAGCTCTCTGTAGAGCTGAGTCCCTCAGACCCTTGGGACACAGCTGCATGACAATAGCAACTGCAGTGAGTCCTGTGGCACCCGCTTTGTTCATTCCCGCCAACAGTGGGGAGTCACACATTTTTAGGAGTTTAAGCCCCTGTGAAGGGGTAGGGAGGTGTACCCTCCCTATGCAGACTTAAAACACCCCTCCCTTTCAGCAGAAGCTTAAAAGTGGACTTTTTCAAAGGCTCTGACATTGCTGGGACCTGGGATCAGAAGGGGCTGAACAGAAAGTTGGCCTGAGCGTGGTGCTAGTGTTGCTCTCTCCCTTTGAGTGATCCATTACAGGTCAGTGTCTTAGGTCCAGCTCCCTGGCTCATGAGCTTGCTCACTGCCACTTTGTCACTCAGCCACAATAGGCTGACCAAGAGGCTTTGACCATTTACTTCTCAAACCTGAAAAGATCCCAGCCTCCTGGGTCTGTAACGAGCTCCTTCCCACCTTGTCCCCCGGCCCAGCCACATGGGACTCTGTAGCACACCCCCACACACCGGCCCACCAGAATCCTTGGCTAATACCGGGCGACATGACCTTCCTCGCCGTCCAGATGGCAGTGGCTTGCGAGACCCACTCTCGGGAATGAATGCCTGCATTCAGCCAAATGGCCGGCCGCCTTTTGCCTCCTCCCGTGCTGAACTGCAGAAGGAAAACAGGCCAGAAAATGACCCACCTGCCCACGTCTCTGCTCACCTCTCCTCTCCCCAGCTCACTCCTATTCATTTAATTCATTTAAGATAATTCAGAGACCAAATGTTCCTGAGGGCACCATCTATTTATCGGGCTTATCCGTGACCAGGAAGCTTAATTGGTTGGCTGCAGCTCCGGGCAGCCTGAACCTCTCCAGCACTGGGAGCAAATGGAAAGGAGAAACAATTGTTATTGTGGATTAGAATGCTGCCGCGATTAGAGATAATAGTATGTCTCTTGAAAGAACTCAAATGGTATCCCAACAGAGACAGACACAAGGTGCATGAACCAGGCTGTTTTGCTGATGCAATAAATGAATTCGATTTTAAATTAGGAGAAAGAGAGCTTCACTATAGCTCTTTGTAAATGGCAGTAATGAATTCTAACTCCAGCCCTGGCATAGTGTCGGGGCCCCGTGGGTCAGAGCTTGGTGCTAATGAAGCCAAGGTCTCCATCAGACGGGCAAATAATCTAAATGTAATTATTTTAAAGCAACCAGCTCAGTGGCAGGTCTGCCCTCCTGCTGGTAATGTGCTATAAACCTGGGTTCTTTGGGGCTTCTCTGAAGCCAAGGGTTTGGCAAATTCTTAGCTCGATCAATTGTTCCATGGTTTATATGCCCAAATTCCTTTTTATTCACTCGGCTGGATTATTTATGTCATTGTCATCATTCTCTATCTCTTTTGCCAATATGGACCTGAATTTGTTAGAAATATCTGGAAATTGCCAGGGATATAGTGCAGTGGCACAATGCCTACCTGGCAAGCTCAAGGTCCTGAGTTCAATTCCCAGTTCCAAAAAAAGAAAAAAAGAAATGTCTGGAAATTAAGCTTTGTATAGCCAAGGATCAGAGCTGGACTTAACATTTCGCCAGAATGTTATCACTATGTATATCTAAAATGTACCAATATTATTAATTGATTTTTTAAAATGTCACTGGCCCTGAAATTAGCTTCCTAAGTTGCTTTGCCAGGAAGTAGCTCTAAAAGCAGAATAGATTAAGTAGGTCTATCCCAACTTCCCATGCCACTAATAGACAGTGGGAATGCAGTCAGGACTGCAGCTAGAATTCTAGCGTTCTAACCATCGGTCCTCAGACCCTTCCTTCCTCAAAACAGGGAATGGGATGGCTCCTTCTAGCAGCCCTGCATTACACAAAGCAGGAGACTCCTCATCAGATCAAATCTGAGCCGTGGAAGATGTCTTTCAACCTCACCCTCCATCTTGAAATCACAGAGACCAAACAGCTGCCTCCCTTGGTGATCTGAAGCTGGGTCATGAACACGCACAGCCCCGGAGCCTCACCTTCAGTACATACATTGGCCGCTTTTCAAACGTCTGTCCAATCTTCACCCTGCTGGCAAGCTTAGGAAAGTCGGTGGCAATGCTGTCCATCTCGTGGTAGATCTGAAGCATAAGAAAGTGAGCCCAAGGGCATTTTAAAAATTTGTTTAGCTCTGGATGGGTATCTGAACTGTACCTTATTGGTCCTCATGATTTTTTTCTGGGCCCCTAATCTTGAAGTTGACCATTTTATGGTGTGATTATTACAAAGAACTGGCTGAAGAGTCTAACTTTTACAACTTTCTACAGGCTAACACATTTCACTGTCCATGGGATAATCCACTCAGCTGGAGTAGAAAGGCTGACACAGATATTGCTCCAAAGAATGGTCTTCACATCACTCTGAGCTGGGCTTTCAGAATAGCCCCACTTAGGCAAGGCTCTTGGCAAGAAGACTCTCCAGACTCTTGGGGTCACTTTTCTACATCAGCAAAAAGAACTGAGCACTCACCAAGTACCTATATATACTACCAAGCAAATATAGTATGAATATTACAAAACAAAAAAGACATAGAAATGGTTGTATTATATGCAAGTATAAACAGAAGGTATAATAGTTTCTCCTTTCATTGCAGTGGGCAATCTTATGTTATGGGTACACCACTTTGTTTTTTGTTTTTTTGTTATTTTTTTGATACCAGGAATCAAACTCATGACCTCAGGCTTGCCAGGCAAGCTCTTATGCCGCTGAGCTGTATCTCAGGCCCACGGGTACCCCACTTTGAAGGTGATTTTTCTAAAAGCTTTCTCAGAACAAGTCACGAGGAGTGGTAAAAGAATATTCCCTATTGCTTTTAGGGGGGAAAAAGAGACTTTAATTTAAATAGAGTTTACTCATTTCTGTTTCTCTAATCATTTGAAGACCAAAAGAAGGAAATAAATAAATAAATAAATTTGTTTAATCCCTAAGACTGCAAGAAGGAGCTATACACAGAAGGCAAATTGCAATCAATAGGTGATAAAATCAAGCTCACAGAGTTTATAGCCAGTCAGTGTGGCAAACCGAGCGGAAGCAAGAAGCCATCCCCAAGTACATGGGCAAGCCCAATAAAGTACAATGAAAGCAATTCATAGCCAGGTGGAAAGCTCAAGAAGGGGAAACTGCAGGTGCCAGTGGTGAAGAACGACCTAACTTACAGGGAAGTGGGCAAGAGGGGAAGCCTTAGGTGCCGAGGGTTTAGGACCCAGCACTGAGTGAAAAGCCGGAACTGGCAGGTGGAAACTGGCTCATCTGGCCACAAAAATGGCTTGGAAACTCTCCTCCGTCCATTGACCCTAGAGTGAAGGAAAACGGGGATTTCCTGAGCCATGTGAGGAAAGAGAGTCATCTAGGAAAAGTTAAAGCACCAAGCTGTGTTCATAGATGGGTCCAAGTTCATGCCAGCCACCATTACAATACACATATGGTATCTGGAACCAGAGATCTTGGCAGACACAAATGAAATTTCCACTAGAGACCTAAGAGACCCTAAGTGGTGGTAGGATATGAGCTCTTCAAAGAGCAGAAAATGAGAAGTTAGAAGGGAGATGGCCCACCAATCTATGGCAAAGGGCCTCCCACGGATTAAGAGAAGCTGGCAACTAGCTGGCAAATGGCACCTAAAGCCAGAGAAACTAGAGGCGAGTGGATGAGAAAGCAAGACTAGGATAGCCAGCCGGTGAGGGGACAGCCCCTGTGGGTCCTTGGGTGACATTTGAAATGGTTAGCTCAGCTGGGAAAGGCCTCACGATAACGAGGCTAACGTCATGGGGCTTGATCCTCCTGAGGGTCCTGGGCTCTCTTTCGTCTATGGCCTGAGAATGAACTCCTAACGTTGTCCAGCTGTTTTGCAGATGTCTGACACTGGTCTCAAAAAAGATCAAGGGGCAGTGCAGTTGGAAGTGTACATAATGAACTAAGCTACTGACAATCATGGAAAAAAAGTGGAAATAGTTGGTCAACCATTGAAAATAATTCCTCATCTAGAAAAAAAAAAGTATCTGTGTCATGAAAAGCATGCCAGGAACATTTTGTTTGCACATATGTACATATATGTGCACATATATACATATAATACATATGACATGTATTAAGGTAGATGAGGGAGAATACTGACTTAGATTTGTTTAAGTCTTAAGATTGCAAGAAGGAGCTATGCACAGAAGGAAAATTGCAATCAATCTAAAATAAAATCAGTCTTACAGAGTTTATCTGAGCTAGTAGATGCGAGAGATCCTGGGGGTCATAAGAGAATTATGCTATTCATGATGTGGTTCTATCCTACAATCCCTCTTGATTTCTCAAGTTCCAATATGATATGAAACTATTTTGCTCCAAGTTTTCACTAGAAAGTTTGGCTTATCTTAAAAGTCAGTCATCTATATAAAGTGGTTTCTAACTAAACACTGCACCAAAAATGCGTTATGGAACAAATATACACTATAAGAAGTCATGATAAATGAGTGGAAATACTTGGTTAACCTTAAAAATAACCACTTGTCTGCTTTCCTGGCACCGATAATGTTTTATTCTCAATGAGGGATTATAGAAGGGGAGAAGAAGGTTGAGATCTAAAGACTGGAAATTATTGCAATTACTTCATAGTTTTCTTTAGGTGGTTGGTTAAGAAAAGAAGCATTAAAAAAAAAGAAAAGAATATATGTGTGTGGTGGGGGGAGTGTCCAGTTTGTGTTTCACTGTGCTTTTAGATGCAGGTAGGGATTAATTCAAGAAATGGAAAGGAATTATAGAGTCATACTCTATCCCCTCTGAGAAGTGATACTACGCTGAAGATGGATGCCTCCTGAAAGTAAGGAGAAAGGTTACAAACACAGGAGACAAACAACCTTGGCCTTAAATCTACACTGAAACACTTACAGCTTCCAGGGAATGGTATGCCCCATAGTTGAAGTTACTATCACTCCGCTCTTGCCCTTCGTTGAGTTGCATTTCTTCATCTTCAATATCTAAAAGGTCCTAAAACAGACACAGCAACATGATGAAATACAGGTTCATGGTTTTCCTGCCATTATCCTGGTACATGGGTGGAACAAGGTTGTGGCACCCTCAGTGAAAAGCAACACAAATTTCCAGGACTCAAAGGGTGTCAGGTAGCTTAAATTACACAAACTAAAGATTAAAGTGCAAGAAAATGGTAGACTCAAATGGTCTACTTCTAAAAGAATGTTTGTTCTGCATAGCTACATGATGCCGCTGATTTAGAAGTGGTTTAAATGGTAGAACAGCAGATTTACTGGTGTTCATTTTCATCTAAAATCTTTGTTCTCCTATGTTCTTGGTTCTATAATATGTCAGTGTACAAAAAGACTTCAAAGGAGATAAGCCATTAACATGTGTATGTTGGTCATTGTGATCAGTGTGGCATAATTTTTGAAAATAAACTGTCACACCCCTCATGACAAAAAAGGGGGATCAGATTTCTTTCATCTATCTATATGTATCACATATCTAACTTTACTTCTTGGTGGCGAATGTATTTACTCTACCCCATTCAAAACCCACTTACTCTCTGGAAGAAACATACGTACTATTTGGTTATTCTATGGTATGAAATCTCTATACATCAGCCTGCATCTGGTATCCAGTGCCTCTGAAATACACAGCTTGGGACACTATTCAGAAACAAAGAAATTCTTACAACCACTAATACTTTGAAGGTTCCTGGCAGATGTCTGTGACATGTGAGGATGATTAATAAGCTCACAGCTGTTCACACCATCAGGAAACTCCTGGGCCAAATCACCAATTTATCTATAACCCACCTCGGTGAAGGAGAGAGCGTGAACCAGACACCGTCCTGCTGTTCAGCACAGGTCGTGGGACTGGATGGTGATGTTTGTTCCCTTTGCAGGGACTATTGGTGACTTTCTCCCTTTCTCAAAGGGCGCTTCTTACAGCTGGTCTCCAATACCCTCACCCACCCCCCATTCTTGCCTCCTAACTGCAAATAAGAAAAAGGAGGTACACTTATTACTTACTGGGGCATCTATGATGTATCAAATATTGTTAGACATTTTACATATATTTAATTAAAGAACCTTCTCAGAAACTGCGTGAAAAAGAGGAGGGTCACCACTGCCATTTTACTGATGAAGAAACAGAGCCTCCAGGGGGTAAAAGCTTGTCCAAGGCACAGCACTAATAGTTAACTACTAGTTAGTAGGTCCCGATCTACTGTAACATGCTTTTCCTCTAACAAGTCACTGCACTTTACTTCCATTTGCCTCAGTTTCCTCATCTATGAAATGGAAAAGGATGACAGCAGACCTAGACAATCTCTCAGGTCCACTTTGGACTGGTTGCTTGGTCCAAGAGAACCAGGGCCTACCCACCTGTAGGTCATCAATCGTCACTGAGTAGTCTAAGCCATGGGTCTTCAGGAAGGATTTGACTGACTGCAGATTGACAGATGGGACTAGGACATCCACAGGCCGATTGAAGTTGGAGGGAGACTTCCAGAAATTGAGCTTAAGGGAACAGAAATAAAACCAGGCTAAAGGATAGTGCAGATAAAACACACAATAACTCATTTTCTAGAGCCTGTCAAATCCAGGCTGAGCCCCACCTGAGGGTAGACATTGTCTATTCACAATCACAAGTGGTCAGAACTGCCCTGCAAACTGTATCTGCCAGAGTCCAAGATGTAGTATGTCAATGGCAGTTAAAAGAAGGGAGCCCATTGCTCAGGACTCCATGCCCCAGCACTGAATTGCTGTCACCTTAGCCTTTCTTCTTTCCTCAATAGTATAAATGGCATATTTACTAGTCCAGGATCATACAGAGAAACTCCTCAGTAATAAAAATAATACCACCTGTAGTACAAGTGTCTTCTCCCACCCAAGGCAGAACCCTCAAGAGGACTAAGAACGACATACCTTAAAACTGTCCGAATTCATTAGCTGAGTCAGTTTGTTGACCTCGTCTCCATTTCTGACATTAACCCTAAAAACTTGGTCCCTGGAGAAGCGGGGAGGGGAGCAGAAGATAATGGTGAGCTTTCCACTGGAAAGTAAACCCCAAACCCACTGTCCCAGACAGAACTGAGCGGAATGAGAGGAAGTGGTCTAGTCTTTGGTTATAATGTATAGCCATTAAAAATAAGACTTCATGGCAAATATGAAAAAGTGCTTATGCATAACTTTAAGGGAAACAGTAAGTGAAAGAGCAGGACACAAAATTGTATGTATGCCATGATTACAAGTATGGAAAAAGCAGATGCATTGGAAGAAAAACAGACAACGGAAATATACCAAATGCTGACAGTGCTCAAGTTCGGGTCGTGGGATTATGGGTGACTTACTTTTCCCCCCCTTGTATCTGTTTTCTGTAATGTGGTTATATTACTTTATAATGAAAAACATACATATTTTTACAGAAAGGAATGTTCCTGAGTTACACGCAGAGCTAACTCAAGACACAAAGAAGCACTTCTTCACTGTCAGAGCTGAGGGCTGAACTCCTGGCAGAACCTCTACGCCAGGAAGAGCTAGAAAAGGGAGCAACCCTCAATCCAGGGAGGGCCAGCTGCTGGCCTCTTAGAACACAGGGGAGAGGTGGGTGCTAGCCCACACATCTAGCCCCAGAGCCCCATACACATGTGTGTTACCATGAAAACAAATAGGGCCCCAGGTGTGAGGCTGAACTTGGTATTTACTGCCGCCCACAGCCCCCGAGAGGCCCAGAAAGGGCCTGCCAGTCACAGCCCCCCTCACTGTTTGTCCTGCGCTTGCTTCATATACATTATTTAGCTTCCAGAGCAGCAGCAGGGGAAGAGGGCCCAAAGTCCTGTGTGGGCAGGAGAAAGCCAAGCCTAAAAAGTGTGCTTTGTGCTCTCAGCCCGTTCAGAGAGCCAGGGGAGCCATTAGGCCGTTGCTAGGTGACAGCCCGAATGAATCCGCACTAGATGCTGTCGCGTGCGTCATCCCTTTGACATGAGTGAACGCAGGAAGAGCTGCTAGAGAGGCTGTGGGCTGAAGGACCTGTTGACAGAGTAAATGGTTCTGTCTCAGGGAGCTAAATGTGTAGCCTCACGTGGCAGCTCCTTATCAGAAGACGAGCTCACTCCAGATGGGTCCTCAGGGTTTTACTTGGTTCTGGAAGGTTCTGGGGGCTCTCAGAGGCGCTAGGCCAGCCCCAGGGAAACAAGGCCCACTGCAGAGTGGCTCCTGCCATGATTTTGTGCCTAGTCTGGAGATGCCATTGAGAAAGGCCTGCCTTCTCCCACCCAGCTGGTCTCCTATGACCCTGGAGGTGGGCAACTAACCAACTGCACCCCAAGAGCTGGGGCCTGTTGGAGAAACCCTGGCTGGGCAGGTCTCAGTGTGAATTTCTGTGTTTTGGATATGGTTTGTGTGTGTGTGCCCCAAGGGTGCCTGTGCTGGAAGCCAGTGTGGTGGCGTCGGTGGGTAGAAAGAGCTTTAAGAGGTGTGATCTAGTGGGCCTTGCAGAGAGATTTATGGGGATCTCTCAGACTTAGTTCCCAAGAGTAGATTATCATAAAAAGAGAGAGGCTGGCCCCTGAATCTCTCTGCCTTCCTGTCTTACCACGTGCTGTCTCTCTCTTCCATGTGCTCCAACTGTGATGCCATTTACCACGTTGTGGTGCAGACAGGGGGCCCTTACAATAGGCTGAACAGACAGAAACACCAGCCCAATCCTGAACTTTCAGCCTCCAACACTAAACCTGTTTTCTTTATACATTATCCCCCCTCTCGGGTATTTAATTATAGTAACAGAAAATGGACTAATACAGAACCCATCCAGCTTGCTAAGTCAGATGGCAGCCCTGGGAGGATGGAGTCAAACTACCATGTCCTTGACACAGGCAAGCAGCCTTAAGGGGGAAAAAAAAGATGAGTTTTAAACAGAAGACGAATCCTCAGTCCTAGCTGAGTGTGCAGCGTGCAGGCGGCAGGGCAGAAGGGCCAGTGCAGAATGGAACCTCTTCCCATTAGACTGCCCTCCACTTTTCTCTCCCATGCCTCTTTGGCTCCAGCCCCACCAAAATCCCAAATTCACCATATACTTTCTTTGTTATGTCTTTTCACACATTGTTCCCTCTGCCTGCAATCCCAGTCCTTTCCTTAACTGCCTGGCGATCTCCCACCCAGCTTCAGGACCAGCTCATATCACCCACAAAGCCTCCCCTAACCAGGGGAGGCAAAGTTTGGAACAATCCTCAAATAGTGCTAAAAGCCAGCAGTACTGATAGTGCCAGACACTCTGATGAACACCTGAACATCAGTACTGGAAGGCACAGAGAACATAAGTGGGGTGTCATGCAAAAGACAGCCTTTGTATTGCCCTCACTGTCCTTGTCTCTCTTTGGAAAATCCCCTCTCCAGAACACTATCTGGAAATTCATTCAAACTTCTTGGCCTGAACTTTTTCTGAAGATGGAAAATGACCTTGGAGGGGAACATGGGATTCACAGCTGGCAGTGTCTACCTCTCTTGCCCTACACAAGTGTTCTGATAGCTCTTCTGGTCCCCTTCAATACCAAGTGCTATCCAGTTGCAGCCAGCCATGGCTGGCACCCTCACACTTGTTCTGTGTCCTGGACAGTCAGTGACTGCCTCCCCCACTACCAAGCCAACAGTCAAATGGCCTGTTCCTTGTGCCTCTCTCACCTGCCCCCCAGCCCAGCTTAGCAACCACTGTGAATGATATTCAGAGATGGCTTCCTGGAGCTCTCAGATGCCCACCAGCTACCGCTGACGCTACAACGAACTCCAACTACTAACCATGTCCTGTTCTCTGCTGGCCTGGCACTCAGGCATCCTGGCCATTGTTTCATCCTTAAAATCACTGAAGACCAGGACAGAAAATACCAGCAGAGCAAAAGAAAAGGAGAGGGGAGGCAGGAGAGCCGAGTGGATGGGGTAAAGGGAGAAACCGCCATTCTCAGATCCATCAGCCAGTCTCCACCCTGGCTTCAGGACCATGCAAATGCTCAGGGCCAGCTGCCTTATCCTCTATGTGTCCATTGAACTGTCTATGAACCCCAGGAACCCAGGAAGGATCCCCTACCTTTTCTGAGTTCCCTTCTATGGAGTGAGAACAGATCTGGGGCTGAGGATGCCACTATTGGTCAAAACCATCTGCAATCAGCTCAGAAGCATAGCCCCTTCTGAGCACTCTAGGGCCTGGGCCGAGGTGTCTCAGTCCAGGTGCCCACTACACTGGAAGAAAGGTCTGTATCCTGACAAATAGAGATTTTTCAGCCACATGAATAGCTGTAGTGGGAGCTTGACAGCTTCATGTGTCAGCCCACACAGCAGTGAGTGTAGTTACAACACACCTACTGCTGAGCTGCCTGTGGAAAAATCTCCGTGCCCAGCCACCTGCTACACCTAACCCCTTCGAGCTATTTGGCAGTAGAAGCACAGGTATGAACAAGTCATCACCATAAAAATTACTCAATCTCATAGAAGTAATTACCTCAATAAACAACTCCAACGTCCCTTTAACTAGATAGTATAAAAGAGCGTAAGCTAATACATGCGCGGATGCGATAGAGGATTCTATTTGGAGATTAACTTGTTCTAGGAAAAAGGTATGAGTTTTTGCATTCAGAGTTTCAACTCTCCTGTTTACCAGCTAAGTGGCCTTGGGGTGGGGGCGGGGGTCCTTAACCTTTCTAAGGCTGAGTTTTTTCATGTTTGAATTGAGGAAAATAACACCCTGCCTGGCAGAGTTGTTGCGTGATTCAAAAGATAATATACATAAGAGCTCTTTGCAAATGGCAAAGCGTTCTGCAGTAATGAGTTATTATAATCCAATCTTCTAGCAGGGTACCATGGCATCTCCTTCCGTCTCTCCCAGCTCCCACGTCTCCTCTCCCTTGCAAGCCTCAGAGCATTCTGTGGGGAGCGTGTTGTGTAGTATGCACACACATACACAGAGTACAAGTGTGTGTCCCTGTGTGTCAATTTTCATAGCTGTAGTTAGGCAAGACCTATTAAAGTGCCCTGGCCCAGAAGTTGAGGAGAAAGCACTGACTCTGCATGGCCTTTGCCACTGACAGAGGTGAAACCAAAAAGCCTGGGAGCCAGATTTTTCCCTTTAAGCATGGCAGAAATTAAAAACAAGCCATGTCTGGTCTTTCTTAGTCATTAATAATGTCGGAGTAAGGAGGTAGGAGACGATTGGAATTGATCTTACAAGTAAGAGCTAGGAAGAAAAAGAATTAACATGAGATTAAGGAGCTTGGGAGGAACTTGGGGACCAGTAACCCTGATTTCACCACCAAAATCCGGTCTCAGAGAGAAGTAACTTGTCCAGAATGACACAAAGGCAAAGGTGAGACAAGCACTCGGGTCCTCTTCTCCTAGGGCCCCACCACCCGAGCTACAGCCAGCCATTCCTTTTCAATTCCATCTGCCTCCCAAATTGCTGAAACCACCAAATGTAACAATAGGTCCAAAAGGAACTTACCCACAAAATTTTTGTCGGCCACAGATGCCCGAGCCAATAAGGGCTCCCAAGAACAGTATCCACTTCATGTCGTAAAGGTCTCAGTACCCCAGTGGCTGAGTCTGGTTGTATTTATAAGGAGCCTCAGGCAGACTCACATCCTTACAATGCAAAGGTGATTCCCAAGCACATCTGCATCTCTGACAGAGGGACAGGCGGGCCCCTACCACTGCCTCCTTCCATTCCTTTCGAGTGATAAAAGCTAAGCCGCTCTATTTACAAAGTCAGGAGCTGGCTGCACAGGCTGGAAGAATCTGTGCCAAAGGTGCCATATTGCTCATCTCTTGGCATCTAACTATTGCTTTTTGAGTAAACAGAAAAGTCCCACAGTGCTGGATGGAATTTACACTGATAGAAGAGGCCAGATTGTAAACCTGGGATGGAGTTACCTCTAGAGTTAAAACAAAAAAAGGGAAGACTACAAAGCAACCTCAAGCCAGCTCTGAGACCACATGCTTGACAAGCCCTGTCAGAGAATTTCACCAGAGCAGGGCAGAATGAGGAGAGCTTGTGGTCCTGTATGGATCTGAGACCTAATTCTTTTGATTCTACTAATAGAAGTATATACAGTAAAAAATATAGAAAGGATGCATTATCCTGAATAAATTACCAGCTTTTCTTAGGTTCTGCATGACGAATAAGGCTTAATGAATTAGTAATAATATGACTAATAATAAGACTGTCTTAGGTTTTTTCCAGTTGGCATCCTTAGTACCAAGTCTCAGAGGAATAAATGGAGGACACTTATGATCTCCATGACTTCTTAATGGGTTCTGGTGCCTTTGGGTCATCCTGGGAGCCCCAACTGCCACAAGCATTCTCACCAGCCCACCATGTCCATGGGCTATGCTCTTTCCACATCTCACAAGGGTAGGAAAAATAAGCCAGGGCTGTAGCTGGGAGCATTACAGGAAAACTATCCTGATACCTCTTAAGACAGTAAAAGATATTCAAGATTATTGCGGCAGAGGTCATGATGATCACAATAAGAGAGGCTAGCTGTGCTCAACTCCAACTACAGCAAAGACAGTAGGGTGAGGGTATCAGTGGACGGAAAAGTACTGAAAGGATACATCAAGCATCAAACATTTAAGATTCTTGCTAAACTGACTAACAGATGTCTTGCTAAAGGCAGGCCAAGCACTTATACATCAACCCTGAGGGATGAGGAATTTGACCAGCTATCAAGGTGGAGTGGGTGACTTAGTAGGATCTGAAAGGCTGGCTTTGACAAGACTCAGGAGCCAGCCTGGCCCAAAAAGAGGGCACTGTTGTCTAGGAGAGAGCCTCTCTCAGGACTAGTGAAGCTGGAGTTTGTGTCTCTCTTCTTCCCTCAAGGCTCTCCCTGTCTCCCCAGCGCTTAAACTAAACTCCTACGCCCATTCTGTCCCCCGCTGAGGCTGGGGTCTTCTTCACTGAGATAGATTTTAGGTGTGAAGTCAGTGACAAGAGAAACTGAGACTGGAATCAACAAGAGATGTGAAGGGAATCATGTACCCAGCTGAAAGGTACTTCCCAGCTTTGTCTCCCTGAGGAAACCATCAACATAGAGAAACTCTAAATCCCTAGTGGAAGTGAATGCCTGAAGAGATAGTGTGTGGAAACTGAGTCCAGACTGAATAGGACAGCCACAAAAAAGAAGTGTCATTCACCACCCGCATCAGAAGTGGAAACCAAAAGGTGACAACAGGACCAAAGTGTATGCACCTGGTACACACAACCCTGGCACCTTCTAGCTCCTTAGCATTTACTGAATACAATGCCACCCTACCAAGATGGAAGGGCTGGCACATGATACAACAGGGAAAACACTACTTTAAATGAAACAGGCCAGACTCCAAAGGACAAATGCTCTATAGTTCCTCTTCTATGAGGTGCCTAGAATAGATACATTCATAGAGACAGTAAGTAGAGTAATGGTTATGAATGGCTGGAGATGCCAGGTGTGGTGGTGCACACCTGTAATCCCAGAACTCGGGAGGATGAGGCAGGAAGATCGTTGTGAGTTCGAGACCAGCCTGGGCTAGAAAGTGAGCTCAAGGCCACCCTGAACTGCATAGCGAGACCGTGTCTCAAAAAGACAAAAACAAAAAAAAAGAAAAGAAAAGAAAAGAAAAGAAAAAAACAATGGCTAGAGAGAGGGTAATGGGAGTCACTATTTAATGAGTACAGACTTTCAATTTGTGATGATAAAAATGTTCTGGAGATGGACAGTGGTGATGATGGCATAACACTGTGAATGCATTTAATGCACTAAGCTACCCTTAAAATGACCAAAAATGGTAAATTTTGTTATATATAACTTAGCACATAAAAAAATGTTAAAGAATGTTACGAACGTTCTGCTTAGGATGGAGATAAAGAGAAAGACAAAGGGGTACAGTGCAGTGGCTTGCTGTGTTTTAGGGCAGGAAAAACTAAAGAAATGGAGATTGGGCGTGTAGCTCCACGGTAAAGCATTTTCCAGGCATGTACAAGGCCCTGGATTCGATTCCCAGCAACATAAAAACAGAAACAAACCAAAGAGCGGGGAGGACACAGACAGAGAGAGAGAGAGAGAGAAACTGGAGACAGAGCACTCCAGATTAGAGAAAGGAATAATCATAATCCAGCTTTGCTTTAAACCAAAGAGATTTTAATGGTGTTTTTCTCCACAGATCCCTAGTAGGGATGGTCTCGCACATGCTCCATGATGGTCTTCAAGCCAAGCCAGGTCTCTTCAGCTGTGGGCAAGATCTGCTTGGCTGGCAGGAGGAAGCCGTAGATGCCTGTGTCTCTCAGCTCAAAGGCAAATGAATATTTGATGCCTGAATCATAGGACCAGTCAATGCTCCCACCACTGGCTTGGTCTGAAGAGCAAACAAGAATACAGTCTGGTTATACCATTCCCACTGCCTCTCACAAAACCTCCCTATTGAGCTCTACCCCTATCAAAGATAAATCAGACCCCTGTATGCATGGGCTGCAGGGGCAGACATAGTTTAATGGAGGCTCATGCTTATACAAAAATTGCACAAATACTTTCAAAAGTAAAAAGATGTTATTCAAATGGACACTACCTTCCTCTGGTGTTCTTAGAAGCCTTTGGCTTTACCCACCCACTTGCAATCCTGCCTACTGCCCTAACTGGTATCTTCCTCAGCTTAGAGAGGCCAATCCACTTCTCTCTTGAGAAGGCACAGACATTATGTTCTCTGATGGGAGAGGAGGGATTGTAAGCAGAGTAAGAGATTTGACCGCTGCCCTCGGGGGACTCCCAGCTGCAGGCTGAAGCAGGCTCTGCTCTGATGTTGTTGCATGTTCGACACCTCCGTGATGCCTTAGCTAATAGGTACCGTCCACCTGAGAGATGTGTGGCCACTGACGTGACAGATAATGAAGGAAGTTGACATCCATGTGTGACGACTTTAGGCATTCATGAGTCAGAAGAGCTGAGCAGTGGACTGACCCTGAGGCCCTTTCCTGGGAGGACAGGGAGAGGTCAAGTAGAGGACACAGCTGTGGCAGAGGTGGAGGAAGTCACCTAGTCCTTAGTAACACAGCTGGGAAGATCAGGGAGGCTGTACCAGGGAGCTAGAGGAACTACTAGGGCAGTGATGGCGAAACTTTTAGAGATCACTGCCCAAACTGCAACCCAAAACCCACTATCATTAGCCGCTTATTTATCGCAAAGTGCCAACGCTGCAATTACACCTGGATACTGAAGTTTCAGTTTAGAAAAACAACTCATACATCAACATCTTTTGTCTTAAAAGAAAAACAATACGCATGCCATGGGTTCACCGCCACTAGACTAGAGGCTAATATCACAGGTTAAGGACAACTATCTGAAATGCTTGGGAGCAGAAGTGTTTTGGATTTTGGATTTTTTTCAGATTTTGGAATATTTTCATATTTCATAATGAAATATTTCAGAGAGGCGTCCCAAGTCTAAATGTGACATTCAGTTACATTTTATATATATACCTGACATTCACAGCCTAAAGGTAATTTTATATAATATTTGTAGCACATCTGCATTTTGACTCAGATCTGTCACATGAAGTCAGGTATCAAACTGTCCATTTGTGGCATAGGGTTAGTGATCAGAACTTTTGGAGTCTAGATTTTCAGATGAAGGATGCTCAACCTGTAACACTGAGAATGCCCATGACTTGTGATTTATCTTCATCCTCAACAGCTATGGTGGCACCCAACAGTTGCTGACTTGAACTGAATTCTTGGTACCAAAATTACTAACTTAGACCTCTGACGTGGCTATACAGTACAGCCAATCCTACTAGAGCAGACAGTCCACAGAGGGTAGAATACTGGCTTCAGGTTGAATCTCAACCCTGCAAATCATTAGCCAGTGCCCTTAAAGCAAGTCACTTAACTGTCTGAGTTCCAGATGGTTCGTCTGTCAAGTAGCAATGATATACTACTTTCTATACAGGACAGCAAGAATTAAACGTGTACTGCAATGGTTATGATTACAGCCCTTTCTGAGTGCTCACTAAATGTGGTAGACATTGTGTCTAATCCCTATCTCAGTGCTGAGGTAGGTACTAGTAGTATTGCCCTATTTTACAAATGAGGAGACTGAGATTCAGAGCAATTTAGTGATGGAGCTATGATAATGCATGTGAAATAAGCATTCAATATACATCAGTCATTAATGACTATGCTCTGGTCAACTTAGACCGCATTAAGGATGAAAAGTATCTGGAGAAGAGCAGATGACCAGGAAACTAGCAATCAACACTTACCTAGTGTTTTAGAGTTAGTGAACACTTTTATTCTATGTACAGGTACCAGCTTTTGAACCTCTCAGAAATCCACTTCATGAGAGAAAAGATTAAGGGAGCACGATTGACTGGCCCAAGGTAACTTGGTTCCAAAGTGGCAGAGCTGTAATTCAGATCCAGCACCCTGACCCCAAGAGCTGTGGGCTCTTCCCCCTACACTCCCCTGTATTAATGAATGGCCAGGTTCTATGTGATTACATGATAAACTTATGTTTGTCTGGTATTTGCTTATTAGAAATGTCTTCAACAAGCCAGGCATAGAGGCACATGCCTAAAATTCCAGC